CCGGGGGGGTCCAACTCTTTAAGTCTCCAACCCATCTCTTATTCGGCAACCTGGACTCTACCTCTTCTTTGCTTCTCGTGGATCAAACTCCACTCCTTCGAAGGAACAAACCTTGGCTATCAACCTGTTTGCTGATGGCGAGAAGAGCCATTCAAAAAACTGGGGTAGAGACTACACCTCCTACTATATTAGATATTAAACAAAGAACTCATTCGCCTCTTTCACAAGGACAAACTGGATTTGTTTTCCTCATGTCCCTATAGATCTGACTCTTCTGCTCGCAAATGGCAATTATATATATCCAGGTCATTTTCTCTGCTAGAGTCTTCTTGAAAATCCTATGGCGGGTCCTGCCTCTCCCTACCCCCCTACAAGTGGTTTAACTTGACAAAAATTTGTTGGTATTTTGTCTGTACATCCTCTGCTCAACTGGTGTTTGTCACTAAAGCTTGACTGTCAATCATTCGGGGTGCTTGGCTACTTGATGGTGTAAATACCCCAAACAAAACTCCAAAAATAGAATGCCCTATGTACACCCTCTAAATGCCTAGGTACTCACTCATTTTACAATCATTACTACACTTCAGAGCTCTGTGAATACTTCCTTCCCCTCACTCTACCTTTCTCCTCCCTCCCAACTCCTTTTTCCTTCTCCTTCCTCTCTCCTCCCTTCCCTGCTCCCCTCTCCCTCTCCCCCTTCTACTCCTCTTCAACCTTATTTCTCCCCCCTTCTTACACTCCCCTCCATTGTCTCTCTTTTTCTTCGTTTATTACACCTCTCTCTTTTTAATTCCCTTCCCCCGCCTTGATTTTCTTTCTCTGATCATCTTTATACTCGTACGTTGTGGTATAAGAACATACAGAAATAGCGTTTTTCACTCCTTCCACATATATGTCTGTAACCTTCCGTAGAGACCCTCTTACCACTTCATGATGCCACTACATTACCCAAAAGTTGAATCGGTCCTGGTTAACCTGCCCTTAATCAAGAGATAGAGGGGGTCCCTAGGCCCAATGATCCACTGTTATCCTCATGCTACCTCTTCCCCCTGCCTCTTTGATTGATGTTACACACATCACCCCCATACTTAAAAAGCCCTCCCTGGACCCCAAAACCCCCGAACAACCTCAGACCCATCTCCCTGCTCCCATTTACATCTAAACTCCTCGAGCGCCTAGTCTACACCCGCCTATGCTCTCACCTCAACGACAACAACCTCCTCGATCCCTTACAGTCCCTGGCTTCTGTCCCCTACACTCCACCGAAACTGCCTTACTCAAACTCTCCAACGACCTGCTAACTGCCAAAGCTAATGGCCACTATTCAGTGCTCCTACTCCTTGACCTCTCTGTAGCCTTCGACACAGTCGACCACCCCCTCCTCCTCAAAAAAAACTACACTCCCTCGGCCTCAGAGATTCTGCTCTCTCCTGGCTCTCATCCTACCTGTCACAACGCTCCTTCAGCGTTACCTATAATGCTACCACCTCCCTCACACTCCCCCTCTCTGTTGGGGTCCCTCAAGGCTCTGTCCTTGGGCCCCTTCTCTTCTCCATCTATACCTCCTCCCTTGGCCAACTCATACACTCTCACGGCTTCAACTACCACCTCTATGCCGACGACACACAAATCTATCTCTCAACCCCCCCCACCTCACCACCCCTTGGTCTCAGCCCGAATCACACACCTACTGAGCGAACATATCAGACTGGATGTCACTCCACTTCCTTTAAATTGAACCTCTCCAAAACTGAGTTTCTTGTCTTCCCCCCAGCCCGGACACCACCCCCATTGACTTCTCCATCACATCCAACAACGCTACCATCAAACCCGCCCTGCAGGCCAGAGTACTTGGTGTAATTCTGGACTCCAACCTATCCTTTCAACCCCAAGTCCAATCTTTAACAAACTCGTGCAGACTCCACCTCCGCAACATCGCCAAAATACGCACGTTCCTAACCCCAGAAACCACTAAACAGCTCATCCACTCCCTCATCATATCACGACTCGACTACTGCAACTCCCTCTCACTGGCCTGCCTCGCCGCTGGCTATCCCCGCTTCAGTCGATCCTGAATACGGCTGCCAGACTCATTCACCTTTCCAAACCGCTCTGTCTCCGCACCACCCCCCTGCAGGGATTCTCCACTGGCTTCCGATTGCGCAACGGATCAAATTCAAAATCCTAACGCTGACGTACAAAGCTGTCCACCATACTGCCCCGAACTACATCACTAACCTAATATCCAAGTACACCCAGCACACGCACTCCCGCTCTCACAAGACCTCCTTCTCTCTAGTTCCTGGTCTCCTCCTCCCATGCCCGCCTCTCCAAAACTTCTCCAGGGTGTCACCCATGCTCTGGAACTCCCTGCCCCAACCCATCAGATTATCACCTACTCTCCCTCTCCTTTAGGCGCATCCTGAAAAAACCCATCTCTTCAGGGAAGCCTACCCCACCCCCCTGCTAACTTGCCGACCTCCTCCACTCTTCCTACCACTCCACCCCCCCAGCTATCTCCTCCTGTGCCACCATCCCCTCCCTCCTAGATTGTAAGCTCGAAAGAGCAGGGCCCTCGATCCCCTCATGTTTTGCATTGTATTGGTATTGTTCTGTCACATGTTCTGTCCCCTTTGTAATGTACAGCGCTGAGCGAACTATTGGCGCTTTATAAATACTGTATAATAATAATAATAATAATAATAATAAAACATTCTCTGTATGACTGTTTTATATCTTTTCAACGTGCAAGTGATCTCTGTAATTTTATTTTTGATAAAACCCATTAATTATTTCTTTAAAAAAAAAAAAAAAAGACTTTCACTGGGGTGTATTAATTTTTGCAACATGGTCTTGAATGAATTTGTAAGGAAAAATATTTTTTAGTGTGCAAATTAACAAATCTTGTTTATACTGCAAAATACATTGATTACAGTGTTCCATAGAAAATGCTGATTCTGACAGGAAAGTAAAGGGTTTTTGACAAATCTGTTAGGGTATACTCATTTATGCTGAGCACTGTGTATGTATACAGTATATATATATACATATATACTATACATACATACACACACACACATACATACATATATATATAGAACACTTTTTAATCAGAGTATAGCATCAAGTCAATTAAACTCCTGGGGTAGTGATCTGGTCAGTTAAGTAGCAGAGGGGGTTGTTAATCAGTTTCAGCTGCTTTGATGTTAATGAGACGATCCCCAGTACAAGAATAATTTTACAGGTGGAGGCCACTGACATTTGTTTCCCTACTCATCTTTTCTGACTGTTTTTCACTAGTTTAGCACTTAGTCAGTGTCACTACTGGTAGCATATTTTTTAACTAGCAGACCTATGGTCTTCTCTTTCTCTCTCCAATTACAGCCTGATTACAAAAGTCCTTTTATTTATGGATTTCACAGCTTAAATCAGCAATTTACATGCAATTAATAAATACCTCTGGATACGGCCCAGTCTATATAGTTTTAGTCAAATAAAGCCACAAGGCAAACAGATGCTGTTGTACTGTTGCTTTAGAAACCTAGAATTCTCTAGGACCCATTGTCATGTATTAAATGATTATGTGTAGAGGATATACAGGGGTTGGCCAAAAGTATGTAAACACCAGAAAAGTGTGTGAAAAGAAGGAAATCATTACCCAATATGGTGTTGGACCTCCTTTGGCATCCATGATGGGCTGCATTCTCCAGGGAATTGACAAATATAAGTTTTGGATGGTGGATAATGGAATCCGATACCACTCTTCATGCAAAAACCATTCCAGTTCTCGCAGAGATACCGGAGGTAGAAAACAAGCCCAAACCTTGTTCTTTAAAACTGATCATAATGGCTATATGATATTGAGGTCCCGCAACTGCAGTGCGCAGGGAAGGTGCGAAACTACATCTGAATGCTCGTCAAACCATGATTTGATAATGCCAGCTATATGAACCGGAGCATTATCATCTTGGTAAATGGCGCTGTCTTTGGGAAACAATGTCTGAACCATGGGGTGCACATGGTCGGCTAAAATTTGCACATAGTCGCGGGCAGTGACTCTACCATTCAAGGTGATGATGGGGCCTGCTGAATACCAAGATATGGCTGCCCAAACCATGCTTTGCGTCGCCACCATGCTATACCATTGGCACAAGAGACAGTTCTGATCATAAGCTTGGGACAGTGTTCACCACAAACACGGCTATTGGTTGGTAACAGTGTGAAGCTCGATTCATTGGACCATATTACAGTCTTCCAGTGATCGGTAGTCCATGATTTAAGGGTGTTGCACCACTCTCTCCTCTTCTAAGCATTAAATTCTATCACTAGAGGTTTTGAAATTGCAGCTCACCCATGAATCCTTTGCGTATAGAGTTCCCTCTGCACAGTTTTTGTGGACACAGACTTTGGAAGACTGAGATTGAGTTCTGCAGTCACCTTTGTGTGCTGTTATCCGGAATAAGAAAACAACTTGCAATGTCCTTTTGTTTCTTTTGGTCAGCTGACCATGATGACCGCGATTAGACGTTTTCCGAAAACTGTAAATGCTGTCATAATGTTTGGTACTGAACCTTGAGACATGGCAAATAAATTGCCAAGTTCAGTCACAGAGGCACCAGCTAAGCAGGCACCAACTATTTGCCATCTGGAAGGTCAATAAGCTCTGAAATGACGCCTTAATACTAGCAGCGCACACAGTGAATGACGAAAGTAAGGCTTCCCACCTGCTAGCCAGGCATCTCATCACACAGTGGAAGCAAAAGAATGTTTCATTACTTCCGCTTTTAATGCGAAACACGTTACTTTCACACCTGCCAATCATGTAGTGTTTCCATATTTTTGTCCAACCGTTGCATATTTTTATATACAGTGTATAGATAGAGATCATTCATTTATTTTTAGTATACACATAGCTAGATAGCAATGTTTTAAAAAAGACAAGTTGATAAAAAAAAATAAAACTGACCCCAAACCATTATAGTTTCTCTTTCATAGTATACCTGTCTACAACCAGATTGCCTTCATTGATCCTCAGTGCTGTCCACATGTCCCAGTATTCAGCTTCTGAAGGTTGTGTGTATGGTCCAAACACCTCACCAATACTAGATCAGAGCAAAATAAAGGTGTAAAATAAAACTACATTAGGATGTAACATATTATACACGTTTAATAAAAGTGATACAGTTTTTCACATAATTATCAATTTTAGGTCCAAATTAGCCACTTTATTCAATAGCAAGAGCATATCTATTGAACAGTGCATTCACTTAAAACCAAATAAGTCCCATGAATCACATATTTACACCTGCTCACCCTTTGCTGAAGAAAAGGAAGTTCATCAGCCTAGTAAGTATTGGCGAAAAAAATCCCACCATCCTTCAGCAGCTAGACAGAGGAAGTCAAAAACAGACTTTGTTATGTAACAATATACCATGACATGACAAGGAAAAAAAAAACAAACACACCATTTATATTGGGAATGAATGAGCAGCACAAGGTGAAGAATAAGAAAGCATATGATTAATAATAAAAACGTAGTAATTGACATCTGTGCTTACTTAGCGATGCATTTCTATGCTACTCATAATTTTTTAAATTTTGTGTGGCAACCCAATGTACTATTACAATACAGTGTAGCACACCACGCTGCAGCAGGCAGCGAATAAGCACACAATACCAGATAACAAAATACCATTGTTAAGCTACATAAGCAACAGCAAAATAGGATTTTTGTACTTACCATAAAATCAATTATTGAGTTCATCAAGGAACACAGGATACAGAGACAACTGGGTTATAACACTGCCAAAAGGGGCATCTTGAAATTGGCAATCCACAAAAAATATTAATAAAAAACAGTGGACAATCTGATCAAGTCCCTTCCAGTTTTCTACAAAAGCAGTACTGAGGCCCCATGTACACATGAACTCCCCTACACGTTTAGCTCTCCTGGCAGCAGAAAACCGCTAAAAGCGCGTGTAAACACGGTTAATGCGTTTAGTGCTTGGACGTTTAATCATTTGATTGGCCAGAGTATTTTCCATTGACATGAATGAATGCCCTGGCCCTAGTGGTTTTTGGCAAAAACGTTCCTCTCCTGAACGCAATTCTTCTGCGTTCAGGAGAGGAACGTTTAACTGCCCTAAACTCTGCTGCTCTTAAACTCTGGTAAAAGACTATGTGTACATGGACACATAGGCTTTTATTGAGTGGAGTTCAGGGGCTTTTGCAAAAAAAAAATGCCAAAAGCTCCTAAACTCACATTTAGGAGCAGCAGTGTGCATGGGGCCTTAGAGTGAGATCAGAACCACAAAGATATGGGACCTGTGTTCCTTTATGTGCTTCAGAAAACTAATTTTCCGGCAAGTACAAAAATTCTATTTGCTTTCTTATTCTTTGAGAGACACAATATTCAGAGCCATTAGGACACCCAAAAGCAGTCTAGCTGAAGAGTCGCAACAGAACTGGGAGCTGCTTGCAACTCAAAGAGCTGCCAATACAACTGTACGCCTGAAGCTGCCACTAAAACAGGAGTGAATATCCGCCTGATAGTACTTAGAGAACATGTGAACAGAGGACCAGGTGGCTGCCTTGCAAATCTGAGAAACAACTACTTGATGCCAAAAAGCCCAATTAGCACTCATTGATCTAGTAAAGCACATTTAGCCAAGATAGGGTGGAACCCAAGCTATACGACCCTAAGCTTGAACAGTTATTTGTCTTCACCACTGAGAAAAGGTGAAATGAAAAGCAGGTTCCCCTTTAGGGCGACAATCAGAAATGCAAAAAGAGCCAGTCTTTCTGATGGAAGCAGTGGGTGCAAATTACATCCAATAAAGGGAAAATTTCCTTCTGATGCACAAAAGATGGACAAAAAGATGAAAACTATTTTCTGGTTGAGGAGAAAGAAGGAATTGGGCCTCAACACCACCTTATTCCCGTGCATGTCCAAAAATGGTTCTTTACAGGGCAAGGCCACAACCTAAGACAAACAACTTTCATAGGTGACGAAAACAAGGAAAACAACTTTGTGAGAGTGGAAAGAGAATATCCCGAAAGGGGTCAAATAGCAGTTTCTGAAGTGCCAAACGAACCGGATTAAATCCTACAGTCACAGATGGTGGTTGCCCTGTTCAAAAGTTTTACTTAAAGAATGCGATGCTGGCAGTTTTTAGAAAAAAAAAAAAAACTAAGTGCTGACATTTGCCCCTTGATGGTTCTTGGGGTCAAATGCTGATCCAGGGTGGGTTGCAAAAATGTCTGGATTTACACCGTGGAGTATTTCTTGGGATGAAAACTTTTCTAGCATTTATATGATATATTTGCAATGATAGACCTTACTAACTGGGAGTTGTGGCACCTGCCTATGACTCCTCAGGGACAATCTTATCCTACAAGGAAATGTTAGACATATCAGACAGTTTCCAGAGTCAAAGGTCCAGAAACCACTAAGGTCTGATAATTCTGCAATAGAATACCTCATGCAGGGACAACATAGTCAACAGAAGAAAAAGAGAAGTCGTCTACATGGCCGGAGGTTAGAAGGTCACTATATGCAGCAGCCAGGACTAGCCAAGCTGAAAATGCATTCCTCTTTCAATCAGGAGCAGTGGTGGGAAGTTGCTACCTAAAGATGAATGGCAGGAATAGGAGTGTGACACTCCATCAAATGACACAGTAATTTGTTCCTCAGTATTAGTAACAATAGTTCCTAACAGCTCCAATAAACAAAGTAGCCCCATGCTCGGCCTAGGGGACCTACCTATAGAGTTAGTCTTCAGACACTGGGTCAGAGCAAAGGCTGTGCCATGGCTCTGGACCTGGAAAGCGCACTGTGACTAACTAACACAGTACACTGAGGTCTGGAAAAAGCCACAATGCAGAGTCCAGTACCCAAAAGATCACATTTCAGACAGGCCCTATGATAGTCCAATCCAGCAGGGTTTGGGTATGGATTTCAAAGTGATTGCTGAGGTTATGCCATGCGAGACTAGCTCAAGCAGCATGTAGATGAAATCTTGATTGAAGAAAAAAAATAACTGATTTAAAAAGGGAAATGTGGCTAGTAAAAACAATTGAAAACTTTTCTCAGTAAAGACATCCATCCTAGGACACTGGCAAAAAACTGAAAGATGCTGGGGTTGAGAGGGTTATACCAACTGGGTCACTGGTTTTTTTTTTTTTTTTGCTTGCCAGTGTCCAAACCCCCTGTAGATGGACCTCAATTATTTTTGAATTCTGTGTCCCTCATTAAATGAGAAACAAATGCTGGTAATTTATAGCTTGATAATATATACCTGGATAAACTGACCTTTTGTATTAGTCTGGGGTGGTGAGTCTCTGGAAAAATACCTGCAATTATAAAAGCAAATCAAGACAAGAGACACTGGGGTTTTCAAACAATAGCTACCTCGATATAAAAATGTATCAACTATATCACTATTTATCAAGTCTATATGTACTATAAGAGGTGATCATGACACGACAACTGGGTTGTCTATAAAGTTACGATTGCAAAATATTCCCCCAGGACAAAGTGGACAGGGTAGTCCAGAAAATGGAGAAAATCCTGCACAGCCCATAAAACAACACCCAGCACCACAGTAAGATATGAGAGTCACTACCCTATCACAACTATACTGAGCTGATTATTATCTAAGAGCAATGGCCCTACTGTCCCCTTTCCAAGTAGTTTAATGTCCAGAAAAACATATGTTGTTATAAAAAAAAACAGTTTTAGACATTTTAGACTTTTAGACATGCAAGTATCTTCTGTGCTGTGCTCTGCATGTAAAAACAGGTGATGGGAGTTGCTGCTGGTCACCAACTGGTTTCTGTGTTTATCTCCCAGGACAGCCTCTCACCCTCAACAGTGAGAATGTCCATACAGGAGAGCTGGCCACAAAGTATTGAATTCCTTCTATGCTTTCTGCTGCAAGGGTATTATATGAAATTAACATCTGTTGACAAAATCCCTTTAGTGTCTAATCACATTGAATTTTCATTCATAATTTCCATTATAGTATGCTGAACTAAATTGTCCTGCCATTATGGAAGTATATTTTATACAACTGAAGAAGTTTAAAAATCTGGACTGAAAATACTAAAAGATGTCTTAACTATGAGTTTCTACAAACGTCTTTAGCACAAAGCTACAGTGACAAGGTCCAAATAACTTGCTTCAATAATAAAAAGAAAATATATATGTATAACATCACAATCTACTCGAAATTTGACACAGTAACATGAAGAAATTAAAAAGGATTAATTCGTTTTGTAATAAGCAGTTTGTTGAGCAATACTTTTTTACCATGTGAAAAACTAGTTTAGTTCATTAACACCATTACCATTTTAGTACCTACAATAATGTTCTGCATAGCAGGTGGTTCATTCTGTTGCAGTGTTGAACAATTTTAACAAATATGAAGCAGATATTTTGTTTTGGTTTCTAGCATGGAAGTGAAAATATCAATATGTACAGTCTATGACTGAATTTCCCGTTATGGTGGCAAAGCTGTGCAGCATGACAGCCCCATGATCTGGAGCCAGAGAAAAGTTTGCTATGTCTGACAATGGTCAAGTGTTGTCATGCATTTTTTTTCGTTCTGTATTACCTAGATGTATTATATGCTTTTACGAAGAGAGAAAGTTTAAATAGTATACACTTACGGAGATAATACTTTGGAAAAGCACTAGTCTACAGGTTGTATAAATGTCTCTCCAAACAAAATTTAAAGACAAATAGGTACTTTGACTTACCATATTTTGGAGTACATTACAGAACACAAGAACTTTATTTTCAGACCACGAGGAAGTAAGGAAATTACAGTTGACAGCAGGAGCAGCTTTTTCGGCCAAAGCATGCATCAGCAGAGGCTTAACCAGAATTGTTAAACATACCTTCAATGCTGGACACTGGGAGGGAGTATGACACTCCCACAAAAGTGATAAGAAGATCCTTGGGGAAGCAAAAGGAGTTATTGCTTCATAAGGACAAAATATTCTGGAAACGGCACTACAGCTGCTAGGGCCACAAGGAGAACAAGGCCTTATTTTCAATTGGAAATCTTATACCGGGGTGATCCCCAGGATTTCAAAAGAAGGACTCTTGGGTAAGTCCCAGAAGGATACAGAAGGTTCTAACAGGCTGCAAGGAGGAGCAACTTTGCAACAGGGATGCATAAAAGGTGCACAAACTAGGATTTATAGAAAATATACACCATGGTGAATCAAAACCTGCACAGAACCCAGGGTTAGGTGGTGTCAATTCCAAACTAAGTTACGTGATGAGAAAAGGAAACAATTTCTGAGATAAGTTTTCCTATCATCATGATATGTGATAACTATCCCATAAGTTAGATTGTAAGATATGGAGGTAATATATGGACGTGGGAGATGAAGGAGGAGGAGCACCAATCCAAAGGTTGGAATGTGTTTCACTGGTGAGTATCAGTGAATTGTAGATGCTGTTAGCTCTCTGGGTGAATTATGTAGAGCAGCTAGACAACTGAGGGTGTTCTGTAAGCGAGCTAGACAGTTATTACAGATTCCAGTAAACAGAGTTAACAAAGATAACAACCTGACAGTTTGCAAGCCTTATAAAAGGAGAAATGCGTATCAAAGCTCAGAGCAGAGTCTGATGGTCAAAAGCCAAGGCAAAATGGGTAAACCACGGTGTCCAGATAATGGAGTTAACCCATCCCCCCTATTGAGGAGGAGGGTACCTGTGAGCATGAGTGGGAAAAATTACGACATTGGCTGTGTGAATTTAGATTTTTGAAGCACTGCAAATACTTCTTATAATCATTTGTTATCATACATATATCATTATACAGGATTTATATAGTGCCAGTAGTTTGTGGAGCACTTTACAATATGAGGGTAGACAGTACAATTACAATAAAATGAACAGTAGGAAACAGAGGGTTCTGCTCGTTAGAGCTTATAATTTAAAAGTGAGGGTCAATTGATAAAAAAAAAAGTAATAACTGTGGGGGATGGGCTGATGGAAAAAAAGTACAGATATTAGGTGGGGACAGGAAAGGCTTGTCTGAAGAGATGGGTTTTCGGGTATTGTCTAAATGTAGATAGAGTAGGAGATAATCGGATAGATTTGGGAAGGGAATTACAGAGGATGGGAGAGACTCAGGAGAAGTCCTGGAGGCAAGAATGGGAGGAAGTGACAAGGGAGCTAGAGAGCAGGAGGTCTTGGGAGGAACGGAGAGAACGATTTGGTTGGCACTTTGAGACTAGGGTAGTGATGTAGCTGGGGGCTGAGTTGTGGATGGCTTTGTTGTTGTTAATTGAAAGTTGTTAATATTTTGAATTGAATTTGTTAGACGAGTAGAAGCCAGTGGAAAGATTGGCAGAGAGGATTAGCAGACGCTGAATGGTTGGTAAGGTAGATAAGTCTGGCAGGAGCATTCATGATGGACTGCAGAGGGGATAGTCTATGTAAAGGTAACCCAATGAGGAGCGAGTTGCAGTAGTCAAGGCAAGAGATGACCAGGGAGTGTCATTGGTTAGGAAGGGGCATATTTTGGAGATGTTGCGTAGGTTGAGGCGGCAAGCTTTGGATAGTGACTGGATGTGGGGCCGAAAGGATAGTTCAGGATTACATCTAGCACCTTGGCATGTGGGGACGGCTGATAGTTGTCCCTTCAATCTTGACAAAAAAGTCAGAGTAAGGGGCACATGCACATGGGGGAGGAAATATTATGGGGTCGGTTTTGGATAGATTGAGTTTGAGGAGGTTGTCTGACATCCAGGCTGATATGTCCGTTAATAGATTAAAGATGCGTGTAGAGACTGATGGAGTGACCTCTGGGGTAGAGCGATAGATTTGGGTGTTGTAAGTGTACAAATAGTACCAACTGACCTAGGGAGGAGGTGTAGACTGAGAAGTACATGGATCAACTCTCTCTCACTAATAACTTTTTTTTTAAGTCACTGAAGACAGAGACACCCAAGTGGATACACCAGGTGTGCCTATAAAATCATAGAACACTACCAAATACTGTGCCTGCTCATCATCCACCATAAACCGAAGTGATTCAGAATCCTTTACGCGTAAACACCACATACCAGTCTTATTACGAAGTGGCAGTTTTAGATGGTATGGCCTTCCTGTTACATATATATCCTCTTACCTCCATTGGAAAGACAAAGGCTGCCAATGTTAATGTGTCCTTTTTTTCTGCTATCATACCTACAAAGAAATAACGTACAGGTGTGATAACTAGATTTATTTTTACATCTGTAGACAAACGCTATCATCATAACATTTATATATAATGTCAAGTAGAAACAAAAGAGCCAATAACACAAAGGCCTCTTTGACATGGGCATAGGCAGTGGGATCACATTGTCATTGGTCCCAGGATTTGCAGGCGATCAGGAGCGAAAATGCCACCTAGCACACGCCTTTCTGAGGACAGATTTCACACTGAAATGCATCTTCACCCCCACGGGGCAGGTATCGCCTGCCGAATGCGACATACCCCTTTTTTTGTTTGCCATGTAGAGGCCACAGCCTGGTTTTAACAGACAGCTGCGGCATGTTAAAATTGTGCCTCAACAGACTGTTTTTTCTACCTGACAGTGCCCATGTGAGGGGGACAAGGGGCCAAACTATTTAGAATATGCTGTTCTAGGTTCCAGTAGGCTCATGCTTGTGCTGAGATTGAATGAGCAATACATTTTTAAAAAATACATCCTAAACCAGTAGTATGGTTGAAAAACACCAGTGTTCTGTGAGAAGTAAAAACTAAAGAGTAGCAGATAAATGTTAAATAGGAGAAAAGCAATTTGTCATTCTTATGATTTGTAAATATGGGTGCTGGATGCATAAGAGCATCCGGCGCCAATGTTGTCTCAGGCACGGTTGTATTCCAGAACTACTCTGCAAGGAAAGAGGGACCTGCCAGAAGACGAAATGTGCTTTTATGACCTAGAACAGCAAATGTTGCATTCAACATTAAGCTGGAGTAACATGAAATGATGTGTCCTGCAGGTGAGCATTATGTATCAGGGGGGCTGTTTAGTGGTCATGAAACCTGCCTAGTAAGGACCCGAATCAACACCTGTATGAAAAAGTCTATACTTCACAACTGATCATCAGGAAGCAGTCACTTAAAGTGTTACTAAACCTCTGACCCTGCATTCACTCTATCTGGTCTCCCACAGTACATGGAAATGCAATTATTTTAGAAAATATAAACCGCTAAATGCCTTTTCTCATCAGCAGTTAGAGCAGTCTTGTGACCTCTATCAGTGCCCAGCAGAGCATTGGTTAAAGCTTGTAGGAGGAGTTTTCATTCTCCATTGGTTATCCTATGAGGCTGCAGGACCCTTGATCCTCTATCTGGACAGTGCTGATCACATGCACTTTGCCAAGGGAAAAAAACAAAAACAAATTCTCTACCAATACACACCAAACTGAACATATGCAGCTGCTCCCCAAGGCTCTGTTCTATCAGCAAATGCATTGGGGACTGTAAAAGAAGGGGGGGATCAAACATCTTTTTTACACAATGCAGAGGATTAACCCCTTAGGTTCCACAGTGAGTATAACAAGCATGCTTTACTGCATATACAGACTGATTTTACTGTTGTGGGTTTAGTAGCACTTTAATGAAAAGTGTCTGAGGCATTGTAGCCAGTGTAATATTAGTGTATGTAAAATTCAAAAGGATGTGGAACAAAGCACGGAATGATTTACAAGCATACTAAATGTTGATATTTTGTCTGTCTTTGTAAAGATTGCAGCACTTACCTATACAGTAGTTCCTGGGCTACAGTATCTCCATAATCATGAGACAATATGTTTATTTTTTGATCAATTAGGTCCAGATGGCTGACAAGTGCTTCTACAATACTGGCCTGCTCAAAAATTGAATAGCGGTGGAACCTCTGCAAAAATAAAGCCGAAACTAAAATGCATTTCCTAAATATTCTGGAAAAAAACAACTTGAAAACATTTGTTATACTTACCGGTTTGTCACTGAAACCAAAGCCTATGAAATCCAGTGCAATGATTCTGTGAAACCTTTGAGTTAACCCTTCCCAGATCTGCAATGGAATAGGAAAAGTAAAGACAGCCATGAAATAACTTGATACACTGCCTCCAATCTTACTCCACATTTCTGATAAAGGACAGTGACACTCCCAGATTTGATCTGATGTTTTATAACTAGTCATACCTTTTTAAAAGTATGAGAAAAAACACCAGTGAAACAACTCTTCACCGTTAGCGCTCTAATAGGCAATTTGTCAAATCATGCTGCCCTGTGGCTTCAGTGTTTGAAGCTATTGCAGATCAATGTAGTGGGTTTCACCTCCACATGTTCTTGCATTCAGTCTTGGGATAGTTAAGTCTCAAAATTAGGAATGTGCCCATGTATTCAGCATTACAAGTAGCAAGGAGGAAGAATGATCCTAGAGCACAAATGTGACACTACTTTCATACGTGCCTGACTAGAGAATCAGAGGCACATCAGTCCTTGTTTTTTTCTATAGCTGACTGCAGAACTGGGACAAAGCCCTGGTTATTTCTGTTGTGCAGCAGCACTAGACATCACGTTTATATTACAGCCAATGCAGTACTCACAAAAGGAAATCTATAGCCACAGCATACAATTTATCAGCACTGTAATAATCAATTCAAACCACACATCTATTTGACAATCCAATATAAGCTTACTTGAAAAACATCCTTTCATGTTGGTGAGTTCTGCCTGTCTGCTGGCCATCGCTTTCCACAACTTCTGGATTTTCTGCATGCTTTGCAGCTCTCTCTCTGCTGTTTATTTTCAATTTCTATGAACTACATATTCCATGGTACCTTGCTGTCCAGAAGTAATGATTCTTTTACAGAATATGCTTCCTGAAACTCCTCCTCTCAGCCCCTTTGTAGCTCAGAAGGCAGGCTTTGTGAAATGTGTGACAGCAATGTCTAATCACTAGGTATAGTGAATACCAGTCGCAGAAGTAAATGTGTGGGATTCTTCATAAATAAGTTTACAAACTTCAAGATCATTATGATTAATAGGAAAAGGCTAGAAAGGATTGAAATACAAATCTGGAAATTAATGTGTTTTTACCCTTTTTTTTTTTTTTTTTTTTTTTTTAAACTTTGCTTGCGTCAAGTTACTATATAGTACTACAAAGATTTTAAACATATTCTGTATTGCCCTGTATTTTCCTCTCTCTTTTTTCTTAAAATGTATCTAAAGAACAAACTTTTTGGATTAATTAGGGAACGGATAAAACCACTGCCACTTTTTTGTTCCATTTGAATCCCATATGAATTATTACCCTAAAAGCGGAGCTATACTCACCTCAGCTCCAGGCATGCGGCGTCCTCAAGCTCCCTGCCCGGCCGCTGACATCTTCAGGTTGTCATTGGCTGGGTGGGGATGACATCACTCACACGTATGCACAGATCAGTCAGATTCGGCATTGCTGAATTTGTATAGTGAGATGCACATGCGCTGCTCACTGTACAAGAGCGGACAGGCAAGTATGTCATTTTAATGCAGAAGAGACAAAGCATTCCTGCCTGTTCGCCCATCTTTATTTCTGGGCTCAAGTTCTACTTTAACATCCTGTCTTGTAGACACAAGAAGTGAGAGGAAATCTGTAAAAAAATGAGAAAACCACCCTCTTAAGACAGTTGCCAATGGAACACTTGTCCTCCTTGAAGGATTTCCCCTGTATTCCTGTTGCAGTGAAATTACAAATTTCCCTCACTTACAGTCCTGCTGACAGTGGTCAACAGAACAAGTAGAGATGGTGAATCTCCACAGTGGGGCTACACCAGTGACATCACATTAGCAAAACTCAATAACATCAAGGTCTAAGACACCATAGCAAAATCTTTCTTGGCACACTTAGCAAAAATATTCACTGCTAAACTAGTAATGCATGTGCCCCATTGACATTATAATTCAGTCCCCAAATCCAGTTTTTTGAATTGAAAGGCAACAATTCAACATCTATGGGGCAGTGAGTGACAGCGCCGATTGCCCATTTGTGGAAAACAAAGCAATCAAGAACGTTAGAAAACCTTGCCTGATCACTAATGTCCCTTTGACTGTGTGGCTCCCCCTCATTACTCCTTTACCCTAAACAGGAACAATCTTGCAACTAGAGCCACTACTAGTAAATAAACTGGTCAAGAATGCATTGTAAATTATTAGTGGCCAGCTTTAAGAGGTCTACACATATTACAATCTGGTTGTACAATCTCCTTTAGATCTAGCAAGAGCTATGAAAGGAGAAGTATGGGAACAAAAAGAAACATCATGAGAGAACACATGACCACTGATTGCTCAGCTCTTGGTCTTCTTGGAATGGAGAGCAGTGACGGTCAGTCACCGCTGTCTGCTCTGCCCCTCTAGCACTCACTGGGCTGGAGAAGGGGTGGAAGCAGCTGGCTCTGGCTCTCAGTCATGATCTAAGAGCCAGAGCCAGCTGTAAATCTGGCAGCTGGGTGCATCCTGGCCATATGGCCCGAATCCTTCCAGAGCCTGGAGTGACTCGGGACACAATAACTCTGTGATATCAGCTGACAGCAGGCAACAGCCTGCTGTAGGCTGACTCAGTCGAAGGAGAGCAAAAAACAAATGCATTCCTGTGACCCAGATGGGAAGTCTTACTAAAATGCTTTGGCCATACTTCTCTTTTAAAGTACAAGAGTGTTTGATTGTACACAAATTTAATAGACAGTATTGTTAAAAGGAGATTGTACAGGAAGACTAAGATGTGGCCAGGTGATGAGATCTCTATTATTTAAAATTAACACTTCCCAAAACTTTAAAATGTAGTGTGGGATGCTTTGGTCAGAAAAATGCAATCGCCAGGCTGCCACAACTGCTGTACAGGCAAAAAACAACTGCAAAGAAGAGAAATGGAGAAAAAAAATGTACAGTTTGGCATGTTTTATTTGTTTCACTCGATGGATAATGCCTTGTAAAAATTGTTGAATGCATTAATATTGGAAGCACCACAAAAAGTATTGATCGAGGACAACATTACCTTGTACCAGTCATAACTTGAGGTTGGAAATCCATGTAAGAGAATGACCACATCTGAACTTCCCACTGCTCCCCATGATTCTGGAAGAAACAATGGTTAAATGGCAATGTGCAAATATTTTTTATCATTCATCATATTTTGAGACTGGGACCAAAAAAGCTCATGTAAAATATCTACCCAAAAAAGTGCATCTAAACCCAATAAAAAGAGTAATAGTTTGCAGCTGTTTTTAGACATTTAACCTGCTGATTCTGCCAGACACAAACCATCTGTCCTATGGTCACAACACTCACTCACTGTACTGTATCTAAGGACAAGAATCTACACAGAAGTACACTGTGCTATGTCTACAGAGGAGAGGTGTTCTGTAGTTCAAAGAGGTAATGTATGAAAGGGGTGATAATGCATTAAATGATATGGCAGCATGCACAGGACACAAGACAGCACTGGACAGGACCACAATGAAGACATTCATCTATAAATGTATGTATTCGGCGGTGTGTTTTTAAATCCTTAAATACCATGAGCAAAACATTCTACAAGTGATTTTGAAGGATAATGGGTATCCAGGCACCTCTATAGAAAATCTGCTGTTCATTGAAGGTGAAGAATGCTCCAGTTGATCTCCATGCGAACAGTGCTGGGGAGAGGTTAGGAGGAGGAATGTTCAGATACACAGCAAGAAGGGGAACAGTTAGAAGGCCCACCTGAATCCACCATTCCTTCATCCTGCAAGAAAGGGACATAGAAAATTCTGACAACATTGTTTTCACAGCGTTCAAAAATATTCAGTAAACAATGGAATATTAACCAATGACTTATAGAAAGGGTGATTAGACGTAGCTTCAGAAGGCCAAAGTCTCCGTTGTTACCCCTGAAAGCTGGGGTGATCTGAAAGGAAAAGCTTCAACATCTCCTGGTAGTGTTGAAGCTTACCACTCCCTACCCCACATGCCTACTAGAAAAGGAAAAGCAAGGTCAAGCTTGAAGCTACTGAGAAGTGCCAAAGCTCTACCCATTAAAACAGCCCAGTGTTTAAAGTAGAACTATTTTTTTTTTTTTTAATTTTGGATAGCGTGGGAAGGGAGAGTTATAACCCGAGTCAGATTTTGTTTCGCCATCTGTGTCCCATTGCAGAGACTTCCCTTCACTTCCTGTCCCAAAGCCAAACATGGGAGGAAATCCCTGCAAATTAAAGGGAATTCTTTGGGGACCCGCAGGTCACCAGAACTAGTGTCACAATTGGAAGATTTCCCCTCTATTACTTTTCTGGGGACAACCCAAAATTTAGGATTTCTTTTAATTTCACTTTCCAAGATAATAGTAAACAGGACAAATAGAAAAGGTGAATCTTCTGCACAGACGGCAATAAAAAAAAAATGGACAGGTGTTCTAATCCCTCTGCGCTCCATCTAAAACTAAAAAACTAGAAAGATTGTACTAAAATCACCAATGCAGTGAAAAAAAAAAAATCCAACAAGAGAATAAACCAACTTAGAATGTCAATGAGAGGGGGGTGAACCTGGAAACTCAAGTGCAGACATCTCAGCACCCAAAGGCTTGAATCGTTAGCCAGCCAGTGTTTAGACTTTAATGCAATCCTGTTCTTCTATGCCTCTCACATCAAATAGTCACTTTAGGATGGATTAATGTTAGCTGCGCACGCCTTCCTTTTTCCCAGCTCAAAACACAAAAAATGCTGCTTACTTTTTCTGGTTTTTAAAAAAGGAGTTCTACTATGCTTTGCAGCTTCTCTTTCACGGTTTTGGATTGATTTTTTTTAAGGACTAAATATCCCACGGCACTTTGCTGCCCGCAAGCAGTAATTCCTATACTGACTCTGCCGCCTAAATATTCTCCCTCAGCTTTGCAGCTTCTCTTTCACTGTTTTAGTTTAACTTTTTATAGAAATACATATCCCATGGTACATTGCTGCCCACAACCAACAACTCCTGTACTGCCTCCTGAAACTTCTCCCTCAGCACCTCCGTAGTTTAGAAGGTAGGCATAGTGAATTACGGGAAACACCAATGCTGACACAGGATATAATGGATACATGTCACAGAATCCCAGGAAGTAAATGGATGGGATCTACACAAAGTAAGTTGAAAAAAATCAAGATCATTCAGATTAACCGGGAGTAGGCTAGAAATAATTGAAATACATATGATTTTACATTTCGACCATAGATACGCCTTTCGTTACCCAAAAGAACACATTCGTTTCTCTGCACAATAAACTAGTAATATTAGATCGTTTTATGAAAAACATAGCGCACATGGCCTTAGACAGAAATAAAATATGGAACCCTATATAGTACAATATGTAACCATATTCAGTATTATCGCACAGCCAAATGATATATGTGTTCTTTAGTGAGATAAATGTTATAACATACACAATTTATACCTAAAACTAAGTCATAACGCCTGTGCTTCGACGTGGCTGTAAGCAGCTTTAATACCCTAGACATGTAATCTTCTTAACGATTCTGCTTGCTAAGGATACAGTGCAGAACTCTACTGTACAATTAGCTCAAACTATGACAAGACCAGGATATTCTTTAGGGTCAATTCACACAGTGAGGTGACGGGTGTTTTACTGCATTGTAAAAGACCTGTTACAGCAAGAACACACAGAAAACCTCTGTTATAGGTGAGTCCCATTCACACGGTCCAGAGCTGCGCTACAGCGTGCTGCGATAAAATTCACACATGCTGCATTTTATTGCAGTACTCTGTACAGAATTGAATGTACAGTGAAATGAATGACGTGTACTTTTGTACACTTCAAATACAGTTCGTAGAAAAAAAAGGGAGCTGTGTTTGATGCGCTGAACATGGCTCCCTACTGCAGTTGGGAACAGACAGCTGCCAAAGGAGTAGTGGACCTGCCAAGTCTGGTGTTCAATGGCAAATGCCAATCGAGCTCTATGGTACTGAGAAGTGAGCACAGGACCCACTAGAGGATGTCGGGCCTTCAGGCCACCGTCATGAAGTCTGTTTCTGATTGTTTGGTCAGACACATTCACACCAGTAGCCTGCTGGATGTAATTTTGTAGGGCTCTGTCAGTGCTCATCCGGTTCCTCCTCGCACAAAGGAGCAGATACCGCTCCTGTCAATGGGTTAAGGACCTTCTACTGCCCTGTCCAGCTCTCCTAGAGTAACTGCCTGTCTCCTGGAATCTCCTCCATGCTCTTGAGACTGTGCTGGGAGACAAAGCAAACCCTCTGGCAATGGCACGTATTGATATGCCATCCTGGAGGACGGCCTATGCAACCTCTGTAGGGTCCAGGTATCGCCTCATGCTACCAGAAGTGACACAAACCCTAGCCAAATGCAAAACTAGTGAAAAACAGTCAGAAAAGATGAGTAGAGAAACAAATGTCAGTGCCCTCCACCTGAAAAGCCATTCCTGTTTTAGGGGTCGTCTCATTGTTGCCTATCTAGTGCACCTGTTAATTTAATTAACACCAAAGCAGCTGAAACTGATTAACAACCACTTCTGCTATTTAACTGACCAGATCAATATCCCAGGAGTTTGATTGACTTGATGCTATACTCTGATTAAAAAGAGTTCCTGTAATTTTTTTTGAGCAGTGTGTGCATATATATATATATATAAAAAAAAAAAAAATATATATATATATATATATATATATATATATATATATATATATATATACATACATACATACATACACACATATACATATAAACACACACACACACACATCAGGGGAGAACCAGTCCCCTGGTATAAAGGTCCCATAAAGTCCTCTTGACATACTCTGTCCCCAGCAAAGAGTAACAGTTGCAGGAAGCTAGGATGTTTCACCTGCTCACTCTTGACTCCCTGTTTGATGACAAATTTGCTGGATTATACAGTAGTGACTCTTTTGGAAGGTGCTGACTACAATGATCCATAAAACTAACACTTGACGGAGGTCACCTGAGCATCCCACAAGCGCCAATGCTCTGAGAAGCAACTGGTATTCCTGAGCATTGCCAGGTCCTTATTCAAGCAGGGAACACCTAAAGCTGGTCTAGGTCAATCATGTAGGTCAGAAGACTACTGCAAAACACCAACAAGTTCCTGGTCTTGTCAGTGTTTTGCAACACTGTCAGTCTTGCATACTGACAGTGCCGCTCCCTCCCGTGCCTTGTACCTTTTGAGGAAGTGTTAAGTGATACCACTTTACTTCAATGTGAATTATCTGTATTTTGTTTTAACAATAAATAGAATTATTTCAGAGAGCAATATCTGTCATCGGAGAACCCAGTTGTCTGACACATTCCTGGTTAACTGGATATCCTTGGATCTATCAGTGAGCACACAGCCTAGTCCTGGATATAAAATGATATGTGCTTAAAGTGATTCTAAAGGTTGTTGTTCTTTGTTTTGTTTTTTTTAAATAGCAAACATGTTGTACTTTCCTGCTCTGTGCAATGGTTTTACAGCCCCAATCCTCTACGTTTTGAGGAGGGAGTGCCCAAAAGGAGTTATTGAAGGTTCCACTTACATATTGCACATAATCACATTCTTCCAAGATTTTCTGAACCAGTGTTTGAACGATTTCATGAACTTTGTGTTTTTATTGATGGATTTAAACATCCATATTATTTGCACTTAGGCACTGGAATGGACTGTTTTTTGTAGTTGATCATATAGTGTATACACTTTGATTCATAGACTACACAAATTATGTATTTATTGATTAATATGAGAACACTGATTATTTAGTGCAGCTTTATTTAAATATATATGTGTGTGTGTGTCTGTGTGTGTGTGTGTCTGTGTGTGTGTGTGTGTGTCTGTGTGTGTAGCATAAATAAGTACACCCCTTTTGAAAAGTAAGATTTTAATCAATATCTCAATGAACACAAGAACAGTTTCCAAAATCTTGACAAAACTAAGTTTTATAAAACATTTGTTTAGCTCATTACATGAAAGTAAGGGTAATAATACAACTTAGATTACAAAATCTTCAGTTTTACTCAAATTAGCCGATGCAAAAATTAATATACACTCCACAACAAAAACTACATCATCTAGCATTTTGTATGATTCCATGATTTGTAAGGACAGCACCAAGTCTTCTAGGCATGGAAAGACCAAGTTGGTGACATATTGCAGCATATTTTTCCATTCTTCAAGAACAACCTCTTTTAGAGCCTGGATGCTGGATGGAGAGAGATGCTCAACTTGTCTCTTCAGAATTCCTCATAGGTGTTCGATTGGGTTCAGATCAGGAGACATACTTGGCCACTGAATCACTTTCACCCTGTTCTTCTTCAGAAATGCAACAGTGGCCTTGTGTTTTGGATCATTGTCGTGTTGGAAAAGTGCTTGGTGACCAAGGGCACAGAGTTATGGTAGCACCTTCTCTTTCAGTATAGAGCAGTACATCTGTGAATTCATGATACCATCAATGAAATGCAGCTCCCCAACACCAGCAGTACTCATGCAGCCACACAGAAGGACATTGCCACCACGTTTCACTATAGGCACCATGGATTTTTCTTTGTACTCTTTTGTTAACTTCCGTGGACGGCCTGGACGGCCTGGACGTCTCTGTGAGATGGTTGCAGTTCCATCTTTAATACATTTTTGTATCACTTTTGCTATGGTATTCTGACTTATAAGTAAATATTTGCTGATCTTCTTGTAGCCTTCACCTTTCTTGTGTAAAGAAATTATTTTCTTTCTCAGGCATTGTAACATTTC